CGAAATGATATTTATTCGAAAAATGTAAGACGCAAAGTGAAGGTATTGTTTTTCATAGCTATTATATTGCTTTTATCAAACTTAGCTTTATTAACCGAAATATAGTCAATTATAAAGCAGACATAATAAATAAACTTTCAAGTTATCTAACAATCGATGTAAACAATATTTATTCGAAAAATGTAAGACGCAAAGTGAAGGTATCTTTTTTCATACCTATTATATTGCTTTTGATTTTCCGGTAAAGAATTACAAGGATCTCAAGCGATTGTTTAGAACACAATAAACTTTACAATTCATCCGGCTCCCACTGCGCATTGCGAATATCCATCTCAATTGCTATTTTCGAACAAATATTTCATATTTCGATGAGAGAATTATTTGCTCTGGGACGGATATTAGATTTCTATTCCATCGATTGCTCTCTCCGACCAGGAGTTACCATTTACTAAATTAAGAACACTGTATCGCTGTATTCCTTTTGTCCTCGATATTCGTTTTACAAATATTAGTCACGGAACGTACATGAACACAATTCTCTCTAAAAATCGTTTTGTAAGAAATATTTATTAACTCTTTATTTATTGGAAGTTTACTTTAGTAGAGATTACTTTAGTTCTTGAACAATTTTATGAACGATTCTTTGCTGATGATTTTCGACTTTAAAAGAACCTGTGGATAGATAAAGTGTTCAAACTATAAATTATTTAAGCGGATATCAAAAAAACATTCATTGCGGGCCAATATCTGTGTAACTAACGCTCACTCCAAGAACTATATATCCATGTCAAAGTGTCATTTCCTTTCAATTACATTTCTTTTTCATACTGTAAGGTAATCATGTACACATGATTACAAATGCACATAAACAAATGCACAAAATCTTCTATTTATTAATTCCAATCAAATCTCACAGCAGTACGATGATATTTATTCGAATTCAGCTGTGTACAGCAAAATCAGAATCTATGCAACATTGATCAGAAAAATCATCCGTGTGCTAAGGATTGATCTGTATTAACATCAACGATGTTGCACGGAGTACGTTATCCATCCTGAACGCGTTATTAAGTCTTGTAAATTTGCTTCCAACAAAATTAACGTAGCATCGGTGCACACGAGTTCCTATCCAGCGTGTTACACGACGGTGCAGTATTTACGGTGTGTCGGCAAAAATACAGTCACGATACCGGGTATCATTCTTCAAGTTTAGCCTGTCCCCGAAGTATTCAGAATCTCCTCGAGAAGTTCCCCGAGACGGGAGGAAGAAAAAAAAATAGGACAGCGAGGTAGACAAGCGGGAGAAATGCATTCCCACCTGACCATTTATCACTCGTTTCTGTTCCAGGATTGTTCGAGACGGACGGCGTGCTGATTCCTGGCACGATGTGCGACCTCGAGTTTGTCAGTTCACAGTCAACGCCGCAGTACGGACGATTCTACTCGCCACGGTACCCGTCCTCTTACCCAAAGAACATCCGGTGCTCGTACCTCTTCCGGGCAAGGTAACTAGGCTGACCTACTATTAAGCTCGCAAACTGATCCCGACATAATCCATATATAATGCATCCCGAGACCAATCTCGGAGTCGCGCCATATATCTAGCGTTCTCGCGCATTTAACGGCTCCAATCCGTAATCCGGTTGCCAGTTAATTAACATCCGTGCCGCGATATCCTCGTCTTCGTTTTCGTCTTCGTCTACGCGATAAAGATCGCAGTCGTTGCCCGACCTCAAATTGTTCTTGACTGATCACTCGCGTACTCTGTCTTACCGGAGGGTTAAAGGGGTAGTTCAGCTACCACTCCTCTTTAAACTCGAGCGCTTTGAAGTTTAACACTTTCGGTGGTGGCTTGATAGTCGACGGTGATCGACTGTGGCAAAATTTTCATTCGATGCTTGGGTTGACTTGACACTAGATTTACGGAGCACTAAAAAGAGCAGCTGTTTCATGCTAGTTTATGAAAGTGACAATTTTGATTTTTAACGATATTTGTAGTCAGTGACGCGTATATTAAATAAATAATTCGTAAATGTATCTTTACAATCTGAATAATCGTAAATTAAAAATTATTACCCGGTATTTATTTAGTGTAAATATTATCCGATAAATTACACATTAGAATTACGAGACCATATTTTTGAAATCAGACTGAATCGAAAAATACATCCAATAATGCCGGCAATAAATTTTTAATTGTCCATTGATTCCAGCATTAACGAACCGTTGCAGCGTGTGAACAAAAGGTTCCGGCTAAAATCGCAATATTTTTGGTTAAAATTGCAATATTTGCTGCAAGTGATACATATATTGAATAAATAACTGATAAATGTATCTTTACAATCCGAATTTGAATATTCCGAAAAAAATTTCGATACTTTGTTCATCTGTAATACTTCTTGAGACATTTTATGAAATTACGTTTGCATCCCTAAATTGTTGTTTTCGTTCTTCAATCGTTATTAATCGTCGACGAAGAAATACGTGCCAGATATTCTACTCAAAAAAGAATATGAAGCGTGCTTTATTATTTTTCGGTACGAAATCGGCTGCTAGTTTCGTTAATTACGCAGATAAAAGGAGATATAAATGTTTTTAAATATAAAATTTGAAGTTCTTTATATTTACTTTTCTTTCGCTAAATTTGACAAAACATTTAGAACACGAATTCCACGTTTGCCGTGATCGGAGGATGAAATTTTCAATTTGTCCAGATTGCACACCGTGGTCGCTCGACAGAATCGACATAAAGTACGAATGATAAAATCCACAGAAATGATCGTCGAAGTTAAATCTGTCTTGTCACCACCTAAACTCCATTTAAATAGCCATTTCTCGTTGATATAATTTTGTTACACCGCCGCGACAGTTCTCTCTTGTCACTAGAAATTTTCCGGCTTCCTGACCGACGTAACTTTCCTTGTTTCTCATCTCCGCTCCTTGTTACGTTGATTGTCGAAAGTTTATGCCGAGGTCTGCCGAGCGTTTTCGTTCTAACCGCATAAAAGGCCGGACAGGGCGAAGAAGAGGGGACGAGATGTTGGCACGGGGATGCCGGAACTGCTGGTATTCTTAAGGCCGGATCTTTGAAATAACTGTGCGACTACTTGCTAAAAGACGCTGATAGATGATGCTGGCCCGGTATGTGGTTCACAAAAGACGCGCGAGCCAGACCTTGGAACTTTCCAGTTCTTAGATTGCTCCTCGCTGCGAATTATTTAACAAAGTGTTAAGTTAACCTTTGTCCAACGAACGAACACCGTGTCAGCTCTCATCCACGTCTCTTATAAAATCTCGAACGAGGCACCGTGACATTTTTTATCCATATCTTATAATATGTTTCAAAATGTATCAAATCTCGAACGAGACGCCGTGCTGTGTTTTTATCCATGTCCTATAATTATGTTAAAAAATGTACCGAATCTCCAACTAAACACGCGTGCTGAAACGATGAAATAAGTTGTGCAGAGCAATTTTTCTCCATGACGTATTATTACATACAAAAATGTTTAATATGTTTAATCGTAAAAGAAATATCGAACAGTATATGATAATATGAAAATTCAGATATAGTATTTCTATATTTATTATTGGACTTTGCATTTATTATAAGAGTGGATAGGTAAAATTTGAAGCAGTCAGAAGATTGAAATAGTTTAGGATGATATCTACATTTTGAGCTCACTGGAATTATTTAATAAAGAACGATCTTGATGAAATAAAATGTTGATTTTGCATATATGTATATCTGCAGCCTGTTTGTTCCGGGCTCTTAGATAATATCTTGCATTTGAAATGTAAATCTAAATCGTGCAGCAAATATGCTATGAAATTTCATTCATTTTTAGAACAGAGTTTATGTCTATTCTGCATATTTATTTAATCTACGTATCTAATGATCGTCGTAACTGGAAGTAAACAAATTAACATGGACTGCAATCTATGCGTATTCAGGAAAGATTTATAGAATGTGTGCGCGAGAACGTAAGAAATGATGAATTTATCGTGATGCGAGTCTTGCTACAATGTCTAGTGACCATTAGAAATTGTTGGGGCGTCACAGCCTCGTCAATAATAGCGACGAATTATGACGCTATATTTGTGGACTGTATAAAATAAAGAACCGGATTCTGCCTGCTATTTTGTATTGAGCCCCCTTGAGCCACCCTCGTAGTAGACTGCCATCCCTCCAACGCACCTACAATATTCGTCGATTGACCCTGCCCGATTTTGGCAATAGCCAATCAGCGAGTTCGTTCCAAAGCAGACGGCCGCAAGGCCCCGGCAAAGACAGGAAAGTTCCTCCAGGCATGACCGTCATAAAACAATGTCAGGCCGACCCTTCGGAACTTGTCCTTCTTTATGACTAGTCCCGGCCATCGAGACCGAGAGAAGCGAAGTCCCAAAAACCTAGTCTCAAAAAACAGCCGGCTAGGCATGTCCGGGTCATAAAGACATTAGTGCTGTGCACTAACAGAAATAATGATTTCTGCGGTCGAAGAAGGTCGTTCGCGCGCAGTAAATTTAATCGGGGCGCGAAGCCAATATGCAGATATGATTTCCGTAGTATTGTGGCTTCCGCTTAATTGCAGTAATTGTATCAAAGTTGCGTTTGCACTTCAGTATGCCCAGCATTTACGGCGCGGCGGTGCGACGCTCGGCGCATAACTATAAACCTGACGAATGCGCGCGTATCCACGCATGCACATTCCGTTCGGTACGCGTTTCTAGCTGTCACAACGTTAACACCATAAGCTGCTTCGTTACTCGTTCCGCCGTTAATTAATCGGACCGTGTACACGCTTAAAGAAATCTGACGTGTACGCAAATATTGGCGCAAATCAACCTGTTAGAGTCGTCGAAGGTTCGTTTGATAAATTAATGTAGAACGTGCGATGTTGTTCGAAGATTATCGCGTCCTTCTGAGATAAATGAATTGAGTATTTCGATGATATTATTATTAATTGACGGCGCGGATTCTTATGCAAAATAATAATTGTCCACGTCAACTGCAAAAAACAGAAACTAAATAAAGAGTTAATTGTGTTTAAACAATTTTATTCGATTAAAAATAATATAATGACAGTTTTAAGTTCTTTTAATCCGTCTACTATTTTAAATTGAAGCTATTGATATTAATAGAACGATCGATTGCTTATTCGATTCGCAAAATTAATCTTAGATTTTTAATTGTTCAACCATTTATTAAACTTCGATGCTAGAAATGACATTTACAAAATTATTCTGTTACAGAATGAAGGAGAGGATTCGACTAGTTTTCGAGGAAATCTTTCTACAAAAAGGAGATTTGAGGTGAGTTTTTAAGTTATTGATTACATTGAGTTAACTAGGAAATTGCTCGCTTGCTTTTCACCCCATTAGAATAGATCGAAGCTATTATTTCTCATGACTTTCCAAATGAAAATTCTATAGATCAATCTTCGTTTAGCTAATATATGCAACCATATTTAAACATAATTTTCATTTATCTAATATACGATATCAAATTTTTGACTAAAATTCTCGTTCAACGAATTACTCGTACCAGACTTGATTAATATCTTCGTTTAACCAATATCTGGAACTAAATTTGATTAAACTCTTCATTTGACTAATGCGTTGTATGAAACTTTAGTAAGTGAAACCTTCATTCAATTTTATTTTGCATTACGGAATTAAGTAAATCCATAAATATCCACGGTACAGCGAAATCAGTTAGACGTTTCCACGTCTTCCATCCGCCTCCCTCTTATTACGAAATACTGGAGCGACGATCTGACATTATGAATCATTTTGTACATCGACTGAGATTTCCATTCGAAAGAAAATTTGCTCGACTGTGATACGTGCATGTCACAGTATGTTGAATTAAGGAGTTCCCTTGTATGTATATCCGTCCCATATCCCGTACAGAAATTGAGTTCAGCAAGTTTTAAACCTGGCGGAGGAAGAGAGAGAGAGAGAGAGAGAGAGAGAGAGAGAGGATGTAAAGGAGAAAGATTTAACATAGAGGATCAAAGACACGAACTCGGAAAGTATGGCCCGAGCTGTTCCGGCGCGACGCGGTAAAGAAAGCACCGTGAAATGAACTATGGTCGAGGACCGCCGATTTATAACATACAAAACTATGTCGCGTCAAAAGGCGCGCGTTGCAAAACGCGATACGATCGGAATAAAGTGCCGGCGCGAAATTTATGAAATTTCTTCCGGCCGAGAGCCGCACGTGTACAACTTCTCGCGTGAACGGACGCGCGGAGGCTTTGGATTCGAAAATCGCATGTTTGCTCGCGTTGCCCGAACTGATATTTCGCGGTCGAAAATTCTTCGCGGAGAATGGAGCGGAGAAACAATCGAACTAAATTTAGAAACTATATAAAATAATATTATGCAAAATAAGGAACAGGTGATTAACGTAATCAACCTGCATGCTGAAAAGTTTTCTGCAACTGGTTTAAGTAGAAATTTATTTATGCTTTTAATATCTCTTGAACATTTCTGATGCTTCCACGGTGGTGTATTTAAACAACGTCCGCAGGCTACTCGTAATTAGTGTAACAGCCGACGCAGATAAAAGCTTCGTATAATAGTTAGTTCGTACCTGCATCTTTCTTTTACACAACGTGCGTAACAAAATTCAATCCAGCATACATTTCATAATATGATATAGAGAAGTGCGAACTAGTGCGAACGATTAATTATTTTAATACGCCTGGAGCAGCGTACAGTAACAACGTTTATACCAATTTGCTGTCCTTAGACCCGCCTTTATGGTGGATGTAATCTGAACCAGTTATCTGCGAGAGGTATTTTCTGCCTGGGAGACTATCGTGATCCAATTCAACGCTAATTGTGAGATCAATTTAGTACCCAGCAATTTAGTAGGTTGATTGCTATTTTAGACAGAGTTGCAAACAGCGATGCAACCTGCGTCTAAAACGAGCATGAAACGTAATAATGGATTCATTTCTGGTGACTTTTCTCCTCGTCCGTTTCAAATGTACCGAAAAATAGGGACCACGTCTCGTTCTATCACATCCATTAAACAATTTAATTGTCAGGTCGCCGCTCGATGTCCGTGCAAGTTTAATAGATGTTCGCCGTTTTCCTATAGTGCGTGATAAATTTCGAGAGACCAATGGCCCCGTATGAAAGCCACGGTTGCGTCAGTTGTGCTTCTATTAGGTTAATTGTGAATTACGACGCCTGTCGGTTATTAACGTTTACGAGTTAACGAGCCACGATAACGAGTAGCAAGATCGCGAGTGCCGGGACGAAACTTTTCTATTTAAAAGTTCTCTGAGCCCGAACATTGTATTCGTTACAGTTCGATGGTACCTCAACTCTCCCCCCCCCTCCTATAGCCTAACCCCTCATCGACCAGGGGACCAAGGCTTTAGGTGGATTAAACACGCAATGGAGATTTGCGTGCACGATGAACTTCCCGGGATTAATATTTTTTTTCCATTCAATCGTTTATTTAAACTTTAATGGGATCTAAACAAGGTAACGCTAAAGAGCCGTAAACTTGGCATCTTGACGTCTTTACGACTAGAGGAAGTTGTTGAAATCGACAGTCAGGATACACGGTAGCGGTCATAAATTGTGATGAATTTTAATTTCGATTATACGCATTTTGCGTAACGTTCACTGATTTATTTAGTTGGTTCGTTTCGTGTTCTAATCTACGCAAGTGCCCAAAGACGACGCAAAACACATAGTACTAGGATCTCATGCATCTATGGCAAAAATGAGAAGTTGGAATGTAAAATTGTGAAGACGCATGAAGAATTTAATGATACTATTATATTATTTTCGAAATTTATAATCGAGCTTTATTAACAAAACTATTGAAAGAAACAATGTGTTCTTATTTAATTCCTGTTTGTTACTACCCTCATGGAACATTTTTATTTTTATTTTACATTATTAACTTTCCGAATCATTCGGAAAGTTGTTTCGTTTTTCAAAAAGATTTCGTTTTGTATGGGTGTTAAAAAGGCACTCGATTCAGTACTTTGTCAATCAAAAACAGTATGCACTTCTAAGATTTGAAAGCTGTCAGAAAAATGTCAAAAAGTTTATCTTTTTACTTTCCACGTTGAAAAAGTCGTCTTTCATTTTCTCGTAGAAGAACAAAACAACTTTCCGGACGACCTAATAAATTTCACAAAATCTCAATAAATTGTCATTTTTATAATGAGACCCTTCGATGAGGAACGAAAGAAACATTCGATCAAATTAAAAGTTCAAGACACATAGATACTGGCAGCGATGAACACAATTCACAATATTTAGGAATTGATATCCTATAGGTGATCGTTTAGTATCTCAGTTTATTGTATCGTTGATCTTGAAATTTATTAACTCCGCACGTTTGTGCGAGATAGTGTTTGTAGGTTTAAATAACCAGTTGATTTTCCATACGAATTGCTGCGTGTTCTATGAATATCAAAGGTTTATTGTGTTCGATAAGCTTATCTTCGTTTCATTAGTGCTTGCTCACGCATCGAACCCGCTTATTTTATTCGTACCAGCGGATTTTTAAATAACATCGCTTCGCGTGAGATAGTCATTTTACTTCAGCCTTTGATCCGTGCCTCTCGTGTTTAGGCTATTTTGATCGATGCTTTTTCGTATAGAAAAGAAAGTACAGAAGACGGATTAGGTTCGTAACAGTAAATTAGAACATTCGTCGTATCAGAAAATCAACGATGACAGCTAACAATTTCGAGCTGCTGTTACGAGGACATAGTAATTGCTAAAGAAATATAAAATAACGTTCGGAGTAAATGCATTCGAAATTCAGAATGGATTTGGTCTTCTAGTTGACTTATGGCAAATTTGAACATTAACCCTTAAAATAAACCCTTTTTGTTTTGAATTTTAAAAAATCGTTTTTTTTATAGGAATGTAGTCATAGGTTACGTAAAAAATAAATAAAAAAATTTAGGTAATAATATTGAATATTTATTTTGAAAAAAAGTTGTATGTAGACTTTTGGCAGCAATATGTGTTTATTACTAAAATTATTGTAGACGTAAACAAATGGTCATGTATTTATATATTATCTATTAGTATAGGAATTTTCAGATTATTTATAAATGAAATGCAGCAAAGCAATTGCGATTTTTGTTGTGACACAAAGCAACCTTGCATTTGATGCACTCAGTCCGTGAAAATCCTTTGCATCCTGGAAGTTATCACCCACCACATTCAAATGTCAAAAACCATAAACTTACTCGCCAAAAGTAATGTCAAGTCTTTTATTTCACACATGGTCTATCGTCTATTGTTATCAACGTGTGTTCGGAAACGCGCATACTCAGGTTTTTGGATCAAATTAAGTGGAACTGGAATGTAGAAAATTGGCAACAATATGCATTTAAGGGTTAAGTGTCATTTAACATCAACGTAGCTGAAGTGTCATGTTCGATGTAAGACGCAAGATAAAACAAATATTTCTTTATGAATACGATTGTTAACTTTTACGGTTAATATAGATATAGTTGAAGGATCTCTATAGAATCGGCAATGAAATGAAGCATAGGATACTTTATAGATCACTAAATTAATTAAAGAACATTGTACGCATTCGTCGAACACGAAATGAACTTTTTAGACAATCGAACGATTCGATAGCGGAGTTCTACTTAGGACAAAAATCATTGGATCGAGTTCGATGCAGTAAAAATTCAAGAAATTAAACAACAATCCAGCTCGTGTATCTTGCAGCGAGTGCAAGCAGTTATTATCATAAAAATCTACTAATCCCCGCTTCGTTCGAAGCACGACGGAACCGTTGCGAAAGAAGTTTCTCGTTGATCCGAACTTCTGAAAATCCATTATGTTCGCGCAAACGTCTGCAGCGACGTGTTTGTCGCAGTCGCGAACACAGGGACGTATGAAACAATCGGGAAATCGTACGCTCGCCGTAATCGCATTGTGTTAATAGAGCAGCGCGATTACATAGACGGGTTGCCGTGTATCACTTCTGCGCAAATATTATAGTGCCGCGTTTCACTTAGGATATTACGGGCCGAAATTTCGCATAAATATATACCGCGCGGCCGCGCTAGACCTCGTAAACGGGCACGAAAGGGCGTAAACTAAAATGAACGACTAAACTAATCAGAGTTGTCCAAATGTTTGCGAACCGGTAATAATGTCGACGACGAGGCACGGCGACATCACCGCTAGTCGTCGACGTAGGCGTCATCATCGGTGTCGTGGAACTTTGATATAAAGCCACCTAAAGCTGACTCTGGCAGCTGGCGAACAATCGCGAGAGAAATCCTGTGAGAGGGTGGAGAACT